TTCCAGCACATTCTATGGTAGGTCATATAAGGGAGTGATTATTTGTGCCACACATGCTCTGGTGAATTTCGTACATCAACCAAATTCCTATTTTTAACCATGAAGCCAACATTATGCTCATCCTAACCCTTACCTAAAATAATAATAACATTAATCTGCCCCTTTATGGAGCATATAATATATATGTATATGCACTTCCAAAGGAATTTGGGCATAATTACCCAGGTTTAAGCTCCAGCATGCAACCGTCGTATTAAGAGCATTCAATATTAAAGATTTTATCATCAATTTGTTTGCCGAAAGCCAGAAGGGCATTAGAGCAAAAAGGACATTAAGTCATTGTGTTCGTCTATGGAAACTGACAAACTATTCCACAACATTACCTTATACTCTATTTGTAGACTGCTCAATTTAGCCTGTTGACACTTTACATAGAGAAGAGTTAGGGCTGTGTTTATGTCTGGCTATATACACCTATGTTGCTGATGAGTCTCCCAAAGGGGGCGATCATATGATGCCGTCAACTTGACGAACGGACGGAGGAACGCAGGGCGTATCATGTAATGATCTGTTTGTCAAGGGATGTAAGCGCATCGTGTCGAGACTCAGGTGAAAGGATGGCTTTGAAAGGTATTAAAGTACTTTGGTGTGGCTAGCCATAGAAGATAATCGGGTCATTGTGGTCGGTATGGTAATTGTTGCCCATTTGAAGGGTGTTTTGTGTTGTAGGTGTCATGTGAGAGGAAGAGACTTCTTTTTAAATGTCATCGGCCGTTTGTGTAAAGAGCAACAAGATTTTCATTGACAGGGTTACTTTAGTCCATGAATGGTCCAGAAACGGTCACACAGGTCAAACAGGTCAAAGTTTTCTGTGTTAATATATGACATTTTTTACCTGTAAATAAAATAGAGCAGATCATGTAAGATACATTGCAGATTAGGAAATATTTACTACTACATTTATTATAATTATAATGATTTTGTTAAATGTCTATAATTGAACCAAGACAAGAAAAAGATTGTACAAAATACTGCGAAAGAACCTTTTTGTATAAATGACAAAAAACTGAAAGAATGCAGCCAGGTATAAGTAATCACTGTTTGTCTTTTCTTCACTTCGTTATAAAGTTTAATCGAGAGAAGAAAACAAAATTGTGTCAAAAATTAAGTTTGACACAAAAAATTTATCTAGTGACATATTTTAGGTGAGTCTAAGATGATCTTGGGCTTTAACTCACTATGTTTTAAAACTCATAATCTAGACAAGTGCAACATTCAAGTCTCTTGAGATTTACCCCTCTCCTTGATACGTCTTGCGATGGCATGAAGAGGAAGAGGAGGATTGGGGCGAAAAACATGTCTCACCTGCCAAAATGTCACCAAAACCTTAGTGAATTCAACTATCCGATCCATCTTAATAACAAGCATACTTCGGCAGCATAATCTATTGTTCTGTTCTGTATGTTATTGCATGAGCACTGTATCTAGATTTCATCATCACAGTGACCAAGCAAATGAAGTCTCAGATGGCATGAACTTAAATGTTGTTATCTTCTTTTGAAAGGTTAATGTTCATGTTTTTCCCCTAGTTGCACATGTCTTGGTGAATTTTGTATTCTACTTCTAGATGATGCCTTGACATATTATATAATGTTGAATATATGAGAAAAGTAAAGGTGCAAGAGACCTGGTAATTTTAAGGGGGTGGGAGTACAGACAGATAAGATACAATAATAGTAATATTAATCCCCTTCACAGACAAACTCCTGTGCATTTATCAAAAGAACCATCACTAAATGTGAGATAAAAGAATCAATACCCAATAATTCTAGCACAAAGATCATTTCATATGTTACAGAAATCTCTCTATATATCTAAGTAAGAATGTTCCACACCTCTATCAACATGATTATCTTATAAATATCTTTGCATATTCTATAAAGGTATTTACACATAATTAGAATCTCTTCACATACATATTTCCACATGTTATAAAGATCTCCCCACATCTTTTGAAGATCTCCTACATGTTATGAAGATCTTCCTACGTCTTATGCATAGCTACCCACATCTTATGTAGATCTCCCACGTCTTAATGAGCTCTTCCTACATCTTATGTAGATCTCACACATCTTATGAAGATCCCCCACATCTTATGAAGATCCCCCACATCTTATGAAGACCCCCCACATCTTATGAAGATCCCCCACATCTTATGAAGATCCCCCACATCTTATGAAGATCTTCTCAAATTCTGCAGAGCTCTTCCCACATCTTATGAAGATCCCCCACATCTTATGAAGATCTTCTCAAATTTTGCAGAGCTCTTCCTACATCTTATGAAGATCCCCCACATCTTATGAAGATCCTCTCATATCTTATGAAGATCTTCTAAAATCTCATTTAGATCTCCCACATCTTATGAGCTCTTTATACATCTTAAAAAGGTCTTTACACATATTCACTACATTGCTTCCATATCTCATGATGATCTTCCATAGATTACTAAGAAAGGTCCATGTATTATAAAAGTAATTCTAGATCTTATGCCTGTTTAAATTCCCACATCTGATGAGAAATTTTCCTTATCTTACAAAGATCTTTCAACATCTCATGATACATCAACGTCTCTAATAATCGCAATATAATTTCAATATGTCAACATCAAAGTTGAACAGTCTGGTAGCTAGGCCCTCCCAATGTTGTCACCTGTTTACATTGTTAGGACAATAATAACCAATGAAGAAACACCCCGACACCATCTAAAGAATCTCTCTCTCTCTTTCTAGATTACCAATGGCAAGCATTCCAAGGACCAGCCAAAGGCGAGAGTGTTGCATATGAGGAAGGGGCTCGGAAGACTGGCAGCCATGTTACCTACAATTACTTTTTAGCTTGGATAAATAGGCTCAAAACATTTTACCCCCATCTCCAACCGCAAGTTACAGAATATTAGGTTAATATAAATGTCTTGGCAAGAGGGTAGTTATGTGTCTGACAAACTGTGGTCACTTTTCTGCCCAGCTCATGTCATATATTTCTGGATATAGGCAGTATTATAGCATGGTTTTATGCTTCTAAAGATAAGAGAATGGCAAAATGGAGGGGAGCTAGTATGGAAAGTGACCTTTTTATCCATCTAATATTTTAACTTGCAGGTACTCTCTGCAAGACGAGCAGCTCAGGCACATCTTTTCTACATCCCTCAAATTTCTAGTACTTTCCACTGTTTTGTCAATAGCTAGCTTTCAGGAGATTCAGGAGGGGACAAGAAGGTACGGGAAGAAGGTAAGGGAAGGGGGCAAGTATCATTCATAGCTGAGGTCAAGAGTTACCAATATGCCAAACGTTTCAGCTGAATGTACTCCTATCTAAACTAGCCCAGATACATGAGATCTGCATTTATGGCATCTCTTTACATCCCGCTGGGTTGCCAATGGCAAACATCCAGAGGAGTGGGCGGGAAAGGATGAAACTGTGGCTTGGCACGCGACTCTCTCGACCTAGGGTCCTATGAACCCTGCGGCTACTGGTAGGTGGTGTAGCCAGTGGAATTCATTCAAGGGTTAGGAGATGGTGACAGCTTTTCACTGGGGAGGTAATGTTGGAGTACTTTTCTATCAAGAACCACTGAAATTCCTGTGTCTGTTTCAATCAAATACTTCTGCATATAATTACAAGATTGTTATCGAAGGGAGAAAATTACTTTTTTTTCCCTTCATTGAAACATATATGCATGATTTGCGCAAAGAATAGACCAACTTTCAAATTTACTTTGTTCACTGATGGCTCATTATTCAGTAATAAATTGACTTAAGAGAAATAAATCAATGTATCAACTTAGTACTAATGATTTTAGATAATTAATTCATCAATGTTAAGGGGGGCCTTGACAATGGACTCTATCTCCTCTCCGAAGATCAGTTAACATTATACACCCATCAATCTTCAGCTCCAAACCTCATCACGCTGGGGGCAACGAGTCCTTCCTTTCTTCCTTCACATTAAGGTGGGGACATTGCCTTATCTCCTCCATCTAGACTAATTCAAACACGTCTGACTTACCGGAAACTGTTAGCATATTGTAATAGGATTCTGAACTTGGCTCAGAGTGGCAAAAGACTAGAACATTGTCTTGTTCATAGAACCAATGGCCTTGGCATATTTTGTCATCATTATTGGATATGACACTTGATACAAAATTTGTTTAATGAAAAAGTTTAGCCTAATGTAAATGGTATGGTATGTGTTCTAAGGACAGTAAGTTAACCTAAAGAGAGTAAATACAATTTTGAAATATTCTACTTGGAATATGTATAACGTGATTGAAAATATTTCAAATAATCAACAGCCTTATCTGACTTCAATAGCATGATTGAAGTGAGTAAACATTATGATGGTGTATAACATAATCTGGACATGTTTTTTAGACATGCTAAGGGGTATTGATATCTTGAAAGTCCTTGTGATCATTTTATGTACACTTTTTAATATTCGTTGTAGCTTTCACTCCACCTAGTAAAGGCCAATACTGGTAGAGACAGAGGCAATGACAGGAGACCGTTATAAAGCTCACTTTGCCCCATTTGCTTCAGGTTTTATTTCCTTACATAAGGGTTAGGACTAGAGTTATATTAACTGCATTTTATGTATGATCTCCGCTTAGGATAAGGGTTGGGTATATTGTTTGGTACATGAAGGTAATTAGCTGTCTTAGAATAGTTCAAGTTGAAGGTAGTTTAGCTAAATGTATTGGCATTGAAGAGTTAACAATTTCTTTACTAACATATCTGAATGAAAGCTTTGGTATTAATAAGCCCAATCAAGATCGAACATGTATCTAGTAGCTCCCGAACCTATTAATGTGGTTCTAACTTATTGTGATAAAATAATGATTTTTTTTTGTGTGCATCTTTTAGTGCCACTACATTAAACTAAAACTAACTAAATACTGATGGTTCTTTTGAAACAATCTATGTTACATGTGTGACAGTCTGGAATCTCATTATGATACTATTCATAATGATCTTAATATGTTTGTTATAATATTGTTTACTTTTAATTATTATCAACACTGTGCAGTTTTTGAGCAGTGATCCTCAGAAAACCCATTAGTCACTTTCTGGGTCCCGCATAATAGAGCTCTTATAAACGTCGTAAATCTTATCTCTAAAGAATGTTGTGGTTACCTCCAGAGGGTGGGAGAGTGAAGGCTACCGCCCATCTGGATGAGGAAGGGTAAAATCCACTCATTCCATCTCATACCACCTTTGAGACAACACCCATGCTATAGAGAAGAGAACTTGTACGATATTTGACTTTCCATGACAAATTCCATCCAATAGGGGTAAGTTTATATATTTATTATATATTGCCAAAATGTATGTTTTGTGTGTATTATTACTGTGTAATCTGAGAGAGAGCGAGAGTGCAATCTCTTTGATTTCCCGAATATATTGAAGGTAATTTAGTACTTTCTCTGAGATATATTCACTTGACTGTGTTCACAGCGTAAATGCATTTCATATTTCGTTGCATGAGAATGTATTTGTATTAACATTCGCTATACATGTGCTGTATTTAGTTTGCTTTGTCTTGTGAGACAAAGGTCTAGAAGTATTTTATTGAACATGATTTGCATGGATACTTTGATATGTTTCCTCTATCTGAGAATTACATAGTTCCATTGATTTACTTAATCCAATCATGCTCATAAACTTCTGTCTGTATTTCTTTACGAAGAGGTTTCACTATTGTTGTACTAGAGAAACATTGCCCTTTTTATCAGTATTAATTGTACAATCCGTGCATAACTGTTGAAATGTTATTTGTTGGATAATTTCTGTAGGAACAGAGATAGGTATATTTGCTAAGCATATATTTAGAATTCATATCCAAAATGATATTGCTTGTCGAAATAGGATCATTTGTATATATTCATATTCAGTAACGATTATTGTCTTATATCATTGTGCTTTAAGTTTATCAGGAAAAGGTATCTTTAAGGCTTGTTGCTAGGCGATAGATATTTTGGAACATTATCGAGTAGCAAGAACAAATCTGTCATCAGCCTGAACTGCTGTTGACCAGTTGCATTTTCTGTTGAAACTACACACAATGTGCTTCTGTGTAGCTTTCGGTCAATGTTTAGACTAGAGGTGATAGGTCACTCAGGAATGTAGTTACATGGCCAAAGGGGCTTAACCCCGTTCACACTATGGCAACTTGTTAGTTGGGTGTACTGTGCATTAGGAATGCATGGGTCTGTTCATACTAGAGATTTAATCCGATTTAAGTTTAGTTCGGTTTAACTTAATCTGGTTTAACTTTCATCTTTCACTTGTATTTCAAGTCGAGTCTCTGTCGTTAATAATCAATTGTTATTATGTTACACAATTGGATTTAGTTGACAAACATTATTGTATTTAACCAATTCATTTATGTTTTAACTTAATAGATATTAAGTGTTACTTTAGGTTTTAGTATATATATATTCTTTGATGCATTCTTTGTCTCTCACTCTTCTCTTCCTCCTTACTGTAATCTATATTACTTTACGTTTACATAACGCCATATTTTGTCACTTAATTGCATAGGAGTTTAGTTGAGGAAAACATTGTAATGTGATTATAGTAGAGTCAAGCTACCAGCTTACTACTTTTATTACTGATTGTTTGTCTATTGAAACTCTTTATGAATATGACAATTTATGATTCTTTATTTTCTATTGTATTCTTTCAGGGTTTATCCTTTCTCGGGTTTATTTTCGAGAATAAAGTATGACATCAAAACAACCTGGACCACAATATTGAGTCTTCATTTATCTCACTATCTGTGTTACACATGTAAAATCTTGCGAGTGGGAGGGTGGGGTTTTCACAACCGAATGATAACTTGGCAGGCAGGTCTACTGTGATTTATGACGCAACTTGACACCTCTTGCTCTACTTTTCATGACCTAAATAAAACCGTTTATTGGGATCTGGTCCAGACCATACAACTGTTCCTTATTCTCATGAAAGGTATGAATGGGATGGTTCTCAATGAAACTAGACTTATCTAGGTGAGCGAATCAGGTCAACCATGAAAAACTAGATCTCAATCAAAAGAAGATGAGTTGAGTTTCTATAGCAACGACTTCAAACTCAGACCATGGCCTCAAAAGAAGGTGTGAATACATCATAACTCTTTCCGTCCCTACTCTTACCCTACTCCCAGCCTACTCACATCCCCTCCCTAAATAATGGCGGAGTACATGAGGCACCTGATTTTTGTATTTTTGTCCCCTTCTTGTATAGATTATTTTCTTTTTCAGATTTGTGCTCTGGCCTCTACAAGACAATAGAATTTTAGTGTCATTTTAAACGTATGTGAGCAGACAAGTCGGGATTAATTAACAACATTACATTATTTTTTAGTAGGTGTAACTCATGGGTTTAAATTGGTTCCATTTTGCCGAGTTCTACATAGTTAAGAATAAAGAAGCAAAATTAATAATTTTGATCTAGTTAGTTTGTTAATCTCTTTCTGTCTTCAAATTATCCAAGTGGTAACTGTGAATTATTTATCTCAGATTCATAAAGTCAGTATGTTTTTTGGAAGTCTTTGTCAAAATGAAATAACAGTCAAAATGCCAAAAAATGCATCTAGAAATAGAAACCCAATCATCTTAACATAAAAACAGCTAGTAATAAAAGAAATCTTGTTAGTTATTCCTTTGAGTACTCAGGTTTCTTTCCCCATGTTAACCTTCACCAACACCTTGCTTTACCACTAAGCCATACCACATCAAAGAGAAGAATAGACCATACAGAGAGAGAGAGAGTAATACCTAGAAACCTTCTAAAAGGTACTCAACAACAAAAAACAGAAAGGTACTGAGAGGTAAAAGAAAAGGCAATTGACCCCTGTGGCACGTGGGTGGAGTTTGCTCCTATGTGTCAAAAGTTAACAAACCTCCAGTGAAATGGAACAATTCAATTATATTTGCGGTCACAATAATTGCTCCAAAAGATCAACTTTCTGAGTAAATATGTATTATTTCTCAGAAGCTTAGTTGATCCGAAAAGCAGGGCTGGAAATATAATTGGAATATTGAGAACTGGTGTTGTGGATTGTAAACCAGCTTAGTGGTGTTTCAGTTGGATTAGAAAGGAGTTATTCTCGGGAGGAAATTTGTAAAATTGTTCTTCACGGGTGAACGGATATTCCTAGAAGCTCTGTGATCCCCAGAGAGACATCTATTTTGTCTCAGGTAGCGATGTCAATATGAATAGAACCATCGTGTAATGGTATGATTTACTAATTTACAAATGCTCTGTACCTTTCAATTGACAAAATTTATGTTGAGATAATTTGTGGTGGCAGTTCATAATCTCAGAGTCCTGTTTCTTTCCTTTCTCATTACCAGGATGATTTTGTCAATAATGGACGACCGTAATTGTATTTTCCTGCAACATGAAGGAATATTTTAAAAGGGAAAACTTAACATAACTTAAAGCGCAACCCAATCTTTGTCATCATTTTGATTGTATGAAATCGTAAAAATAAGAGAAACAGAATGGCGAGGGTTTGAAATTACCGGCCCAATAATAAGAAAGTAATGAGCATTTGAAATATGAGACTACTAAATCTATGTGAATTGCAAATCAATAATTTGGTCATTGTGATGTATTCATGGACAAGTATTTCAAATGTCAAGTAATAATAATAATAATAATAGCTCGTTCTTATATAGCGCTTTTCACGACCGGAGGCCCTCACAAAGCGCTTTACAGATAAGTATATTATTACCCCGGTCATTGGATTCAGGCTTACCCGCACACACAAAATATTGTAAATTTCTGTTTTGCTCCTAAGAGTCTTCTTCCTTGGGGCACATCTCAAAATATATTGTGGTTAGCATAACATATTATCAAAGGTTCTCTCAAAAGAAGAAAAAAAATACATCTTGAAAAACTGACAATAATTTAGTCATTTTGTATGTTGGAACAAATGGTTTTCTACCGCTTTGCCTAAGTATAACACTGCGATACAGCAACTTTGAAGTGCTCATACTTATAGTGATTACAACTTTAAACAATTTGTAACCTTTTTATTTTCTATCTGATTTCTTTCAAACTTTCACCAATCTGATTCTCTGATTTTTCTGCTTTCTTTTAAAGTAGTTTACTTTTATCAAGCAAATTTCTTTTAAATGTACCTGAATTACAACTTTTGAATTGTGTAATTTCATTCCCCATTGAATTATCACATGCCAAGAGCTACTCAATGAATGCACGTGCCCCAATGTTCTAGAAAAAATGCCTTTGGGCATGCAATAGAAGAAATGAGTCAAATATTCACATATGAAATAACAAAAACATCATATGTCTTCAAATCATTACTTTCTTAGCTTTGGCATGAAACTGAAAATCAAATCATTAAGCCATGTTTGGGCAAGGACACATAATTGCATCCTTAACTGCTTCCCCAAATGAGCCAGCCCTCTGGAGGTTGTCTGCAGCAATCTATTACCCCTCTTCACAATTTCATCTTGTGTCAATATGGGGGAGTTTGACACATCTTATAATAGTCAGCCATCGTCTTGAATCACTGCATTCTTCCTGCCTGTGGATGCGTCATACATTAAAATCTTGGCTCTGACATTCATGTTGAAACAGTCTAGCCAATATCAATGTTGTGATAAATCATATCATCAGAGTTGTGTTCGCACTGAATTATAAACCCAGGTTATCAACCTCAAACTTGCCAACAATAAGGAGACCTTTGGTTTGATGTAAACTTTGCTGTCCTTTATTTTTTACATTTTAAAGCTTTTTTTTTTTTTTTTGGGGGGGGGGGGGGGTCGGACTTCTCCTATTCACTCCTGTGTTCATCAATTTACACAGTCTAGCCAATCTCAATGTTGTGATAAATTATCTCATAAGAATTGGGTCCACACTGTCTAACAACTCCTTGTGGACTCATCCCAGCTAACAACAGACCAATCTGATAAACTCAACCTTTTTGATAATAATGACAATGTAAAGGTTATTCATCAGACTTGAAAAATGTTGACTAATTCCCCTACTCACTACCTACTATGGATTGAATTACTAGGTCATCAACACAATAGTTGGCATGAGGCGCTCTTTGATTTCTACAGACACAATTTGTCTGCTAAGATTCTGAACAGTGTGATGCATATTGTCCTGAGAGCGAGAAGGACATTAACTCATTGAGTTCCACTAAGTGTTAACACCTGTCTGGCTCTCAAAGACATTTGACATAAAGTTGGCACCTTTCTGGCTCTCCCCAGACAAGGTATTACTACTCAATATTGAATAGACCATTTGTCTTGGATCATATACAATACTTTTCAAACAACTTGTTCCTCTTGTTTAGGCCTTCCCAACATGGTCACTACTTACAATTTAAATCATTCATGAACAACAGAGATTTTTGGTTGTCCCTTTTTGGCTAAAATACCCTCTTTTTGTCAATACTAGATGATGGACCCAATTTGACATGTGAATGTGTCTCATTCGACATACCATTTCTTAATACAAAACCATGATTAAGGTGGTAGCTGAAAACAGACATTATTGATGGTCATTTTATGAGATCTTTCATTGTTGGATTAAATGAATGGATAAAATACTAGTGCTTACTGCACAAGACATATTAACATGTGATGCACCTACTTCATACACATAGTTTAAAGTCAGTCCTTAAAACAAGTGTGTTTGTTTTTTAAGGGGGGAAGGCAAGAGACAGTAAGCCAACAAATTGAGACTCCCTTGGTGTCATCTATTAATTATTCAGTTAGTCTATATCTCTCTTTGTCTTCCTATTCAAAGAGAGTCCCTTAATGCCTTTATCTAAACTGGCATGATTCTCTGTAAACCAAATGACTTTGCCCTTGAGTTGATGAGGTAAGTGTTATTCATCATCACCAAACTATGTCCCCTTGGATTTCTTAGACAAGAGCTAAGAATAAGAAAGGGGAATAAAGACATAGTTTGAGGAAAAGGAAGGGAGCAACGGTGGAGACAGACAGACAGAGACACAGAGAAAAGACAGAGATAAAGAACAAGCGAGTAACAGAGACAGGAAAAGCAGACTAAAAAGTAGACTTCGAAAGGAACAGAAAGTAAAAGCAGACTACAACAACATTGAGACAAATTAAAATGAAACGAGACAATAGAAGAAAAAAAATAAAAATAAAATGAATTCCACATAATTTTGAGAAAGAGAGAGAGAGAGAGAGAGAGAGATAAGAAGAAGGTAGGGAGAGGGGGTGAGATCGAGGGAGCAAGAGAAGGAGCGAAAGGGAAAGTGTTTATTTTAATTTTAAACAAATATTAGAAAATGACACTAGATTTTTCTTATCTAAAACTTTTTGTTGTAAAAGAGGTTTCATACTAAAGAAATAGTTTTGGCCACAGTATATGTGTAGTTCATTATTTTTTCAAACAAAATGATAATGTATAAACATTTACACAGACTTATTACACTTAACCCATGATACCACAAGTTTGATTGTTTGATAATGTGTGTTAAATAGACAAAGAATCATATCCAGCAGGTTAGTAAAAGAAACAGTTTACTTCTAATTTTTTTTTTTTTTTTTGTACGTGTGAACATACATAAGAAGACGTATGAGTAGGATATATAGCTTTGCTGTTATAACGACCTAATTATCTTGTTAACCACACACATGGGAGCTCCAAGGAAGTAATTTCATCAAACATTTTACCCTCAGCTTACCCCTCCCCCTTCTCTGCCTCACCTCCC